TAGGAGGGGCAACGGAGCCCGGGAAGCACGGCGGGGGGGTCCGGCGGGGGGGGCGGCCCCTTCTTCGGGACGCAGAAGCGATCTGGCGACAGGTAAGTCGCCAGGATCGCTTCTGTTGTAAAGCAGACAGTCGGCTCTACAAGTTTAAATAGAGTCCCGGCGACAAAAGTCACCGGGAGTCTGTTTTAAACAGCCCCGATGCTGGCGACGTACACTGTACGTCGTCAGTCACGAAGGGGTTAAAATAAAATAATATAATTTAATGGCGAGATCATATTCATTCTTACTGCATAGCTCTCATCCCTTGCATATGACACAGAAAGAACATGTGCAGGAAGGAAAACATTACCAAACATACTTCTCTCCTGTACTCCTCTTACCAGATGCTTTTGTCTGGGGGAATCCGATTGGCTGCACGCTTGAATCCGCATCCTGACACGCAGATTCATGTGTGTGAGCCGATTGGCTTGAAATTAAATTTTTCATCTCGCCTAGCTGAGCGCAGGAGAGGATATTGCTTGGCACACTGCACGCAAAGCTCCTCGCACCGCCACTATCCTTTGTTGCGTGCTGCTCTGTGTGCAGTGTGTCACAGGCTTTAGGAGCGGTTCACACCATCTCCAGTGTGTTCTGGCAGAGTTAGTTGCCAGAACCCACCAGATCGCATAGTGGAAGCCTCCTTGCGTTCTGGGGCGACATGGGGCGTGTCGATGCCGTTCAAGACAATTGCGCCACAGACCCCTACCCGCCAACACCCCTACCCGCAGTGCGATGTCCTGGTCCGATTGCAAAAAATAGTGAGTGGCACCGTCGTGCCCCCTTCCGTTCCATAACGCAGGAAGGCTTCCACTATGCGATCCAGTGCGTTTCGGCCACTAACCGTGCTGGAACACACTTGAGATGGCGTGAACTGGCCCTAAATGTGTTCGCTGCACACCCCACATCAAATCGGGTCTCCTGCCTTGCCAGAGAGAGTTTTTTGCTTTGTTGCAGGATTGTGTAAATCACAGAACTGGATGGCCAGAAATACAAATCTTTTGTTCGTTTGGAGTTCAACTTTAAAGGAGAAGTATTGAAAGAATACAATGTACTCTACTAGGGCTGCAACAACTAATCGACATAATCGATTATAATCGATTATTGAAAAAGTTGATACCCAATAGTTACAGCCAGCATGTGACACTGCAGCTGTCACACGCGGCTCTACAGCTCGAGAACTGAGCGATCGCAATCTACTGATCGCTCAGCTCATGGCTTCTCCCTGCATCAGTCACTGCCCCCCACAGGGATTCCCCCCTCCCCTCTCTCTGTTTCTCCAGCGCTTATTGAAGGGATGGACAGGGGAGAAGCGGTCACAGGTGGCCCTGGCTCTAGAGAGGCAGGGCCAGCTGTCAAACAGCTGCAGTGCGGCTTTGCACTGTCGTCAAAGAATGGGCCCGCTATATGCTGACTTTGGGTCGCAGGAGTACATTGGTAAATGTACTCCTTTTGACCCAAAAGAAGTTTGGCTTTAGTTTTCTTTGGATAAAGAGACATGACCAATAAGGACAAAGATGGTGAATGTTTTGTGATTTAAAAGCCAGGAGCATGCTGGTAGGGTTACATTCTGGCAGATGCACCCTTATTTGATAGGAGACCTGAATGGATGAGCTTACTGTAGTGAAAGTGTGTACTAAAGTATAAGATTCAATGCAAACAAAAAAGCAATGTGTCAAGTACAGAGATGCTATTTGTGCCATCTAGTGGGAAACTGTCATTTGAAAAGGGGTTCTTTGATACAAAGCTTTGCATACACAGACTTGTGAATCTAACGGTGAGGAAGGTTAGTTGGACAAGAGAAACAAATCCGCCTTGTCTGTGTAAGTGCTTCTTTGGAAGCACTGATTATTTTTCCAGTTACATAGAAGTGATGTTCTACGGTGCAAAAACATCTCCTTAAAAAGTTTACAGTACGATAACAGGACTGGAGCACAGCATGGTGAAGGTTGCTAATAACAGGTAACTGCTGATTTATTTGAATGGACAACACGGTAATCAAAATGGGTCAGCATATCAAAGTACATGGTCCTTTCAGTAAGTGTAGACATGAGATTGCAGGAGCCAAGTGCAGGAGTCTAAAATCTGACTGTATATTTCAGAGAAAAAGGATGATATCTGATTATTCTTCACATTAGAAGTTGATCAGAAAAACAAAACAAAGTTTAATGGAGTAGATGGAACACAATAATAAATGAACTACTTCTTACCTCTCTAAGGGCTTGTTCACACCATTACTAATAAAGGAAAAATAGTCCAGGATTCCTTACATTATGATTATAAATCAGTAGCTCAACTACCATCTTGCTTATACCTCTGACTGACATTAACAATTAAATCAGCAGACAAACAATTTTTGCTGTTCCGTAAAGGATGGAAAAGCTAAACCGCAAGTACTTGGCAGACCAGAGGGAGCTTTAGTTAATTCATTTTATTTTGGTATCAAAAAGTTAACAAGATTAATTTTATTCCCCACATTCCATTTCTCTGTACACAATAAAATGCGGGGAATAAAAATAATCTTAACTTTTTAATACCAAAATAAAATGAATTAACTAAAGCTCCCTGTGGTCTGTAAAGTACTTGCTGTTTAGCTTTTCCATCCTTTACGGAAGAGCAAATATTGTTTGTCTGCTTGTTCACACCATGTCTGGTATGTTATTTCTGGGCACTGTTCACACCAGCGCAGTTTTTTCCAGTTCAGACAAAAGAAAATACTGGTTGTCTCTTTCTGTGCTCTGGAACACATGTAAATGCATCAAAAATGCATGCAAACACACTGGACTGCACCTGCAAGCCCATTTTAAGCAAACACAAAAAAACCTGCACCAGAAAGGCGGCAAAAACGCACTGCGCTGCGTTTGCAGATCTGGTCCGGACATGGTATGAACATAGCCTTGTACCATGGTGTGGTCCTCGTTCCAACACCAGTATAATTACCAAGATTTACAGTGTACTGAGCCGAATCAACTCAACAATATGAACTATAGAACAGGGCTCCTTGTATTCCAACACAGGAGGTTATGAAGCAAATTGGGAAGTTCTCTTTAAACTGATTCCTTAATGAAGTCAACACAACTGCAGTCATTTTAGTATTTATCAAATGGCTCAGCATGAATTACCGTGGCTCATATGAAATTAAGGAGATTATGAATATTGTAGGACATTTTGATGGAAAATTACATCTTCAGAGTTTACAATAGGACTTTTGTGTCCTTGAATTTAATACTTTTAATTTACCCTGGTATGATTTTGCAGACCCTTATCCAGGATAGGCTTAACACAAGTATAAGCTTTAAATGGATTACCCTGTTTTTTCATGATCATGCTTAACAGCAAAAGAGGGCCATAAGTGTCAGTCCTCCTGATCTTATAGTTTTTTTGTTTTCATTTTTTCCCCTTTTTATTGTTGAAGTCTTCCCCAGTGCTCCTTGAAGACCCCAACACCTCTTGCATGCAATGAAATTCATCTGACTGTCTATTTTACAATGTCCAGCAGCACAGTCCACCGCTCAATTTACTTTTTGTAGTTTGTACTTGGCCCTCTGCTTCAAACTTGCTATAACCAGTATCGATGGGTGTCTTTTTGGACTACAGGGGCTTTTTACACCTAGGCGTATTGCAAAAGCGCGTCTGTCGCGCGGTTTTTACCGCGATTCGCGGTAAAAAAAGTCACGCGACCCCGAAGGCTACTTGGCTGTATTCCAATAGAAAACGCCCTACAAAACGGGCCAAAGTAGTACCTGTACCTTTTCAGGCGTGGGCCGCTTTGTAGCGCGTTCGGGACGGGCGGAAATACGGCAAGGTGGGAACGAGTCCATTGACTCCAATGCAATTTATATTTTTGAGCGTTTTGTAGAGCGTTCTTCGAGCGTAGAACGCGCTACAAAACGTTCAGGTGTGAACGAGGGCTAAAGCTGTACAGTATGGCCACACTAATATAGAATTCAGAAGACTAAGGGGCAATACATGTATACCCGGGAACACATTCTGCAGAGACAACAGTGGAAAAGGCCAATAAAAGCTGGGTGCCATCCTAATTACTTTTGACCTGCTTGGTCCTTGGATGTGTACAGCCCTGCTTAAAGGAGAATTATGGGATGAGTGCGAGAAGAACCACGTTCCTGCATTGCTGTCCACTGTGTGGCAGGATTGGGGAGGTAGGTCAACTGTGCCAGGGATGCCGACAACCTGAAGCTATAGTAAATGTGGATGAATTTTGCCTTGAAGTGTTTGTACTGAGTGGGACACCAGTGAAAAGCTGCTATTGACACATGGCTCTGCTCACTAGCAACACTTGTCTTCTGAGTATGGGATGAGTGCAATAAACTCATCTCAATAGTTAACCGATGCGTGACACTGAAGCTGTCACACGTCGGCTCTATAGCTCAAGAACTGAGCAATCCCATATCACTTATCATTCAGTTCATGATCTTCTCCCTGCAGAGAGCGATGACTGTAATTCACCCCTCCTCCCCCCTCTGTTCCTCCAGCGCTGACAGAGAGCCAGAGCCAGCTGTCAATCAGGCAGCGGGGTGGAGACTGAAAATATTGTCGGGATCCGCCTCGGCTGCTGCATGGCTCTGCACAGTCAGCATATAGCGGGCAATAGCCCATCATATGCTGAGTTTTAGGTGACAGGAGGATATTATTAAATGTCCTCCTGTGACCCTAAAGAGAACTACAGTTAAAAAAAAATTTTGCCATAGTTTTCTTTTAACACAAGCTTATGCTAGTGTTGGTTTATCAATGGGTCCTGAGAGAATGGAACCCCAAGCAAATGTTCTTCCTGCTCGTCTGTAAGAGAGGCACTTGCAGTGGCCATGTTTACAGTGAATGCAATATCAAGTTTGTAACATATGTAAACACAATTTACATATACGTGCACAAATCCTCACTTCTGGTGGATCACTGGTAAGCTGAGCGGCCTTTATGTTTGGTTCAACTGGCGATAAAAAGTAGATTTTTGTTTAGGTAAAGATTGTGGCTATTTTCTTGCCAAGGACGATGTCCGTTTTCTTTTCAATGCACTGGAATAAAAGCCTAATTATAACTAGGAACTTTTCAGGGAATGAATTAACTCGTTTTCTTCATCTCTGTCTTAAATGCTGTCTTCCTCTGCTTTTTATATTCAGCAAATTCAGCTTAATTTGGCATTCGTATGTAACATCTTCTTAAATCTAAACTTTTAGAAATTCTTCCTGAAAGCTGGCTTTGATTCTTAAGTTTACTTAAAACTATTCAGATTTACTCATCAGCTTGTTATTGCTTATACACTTGGCATGAAGGGATGTAAACATATGAAAATATGCTTTTTTAATCTCAATAATTTACACCGTCTTTAAACACATTATGGTAATGTTTTAGATCACAGGGAAAACAAATTAAATGTGCTAAACTGCCGCTTTTTCTCAATTTCTTTCTGCTATCTATTTTGCTCCCATTTAGGACTGGCCATTTGATGATGGAGCTTCACCCCCTACGCAAGTAGTTGACGATTGGCTGAATCTATTAAAAAATAAATTTCGAGAAGAACCACGTTCCTGCATTGCTGTCCACTGTGTGGCAGGATTGGGGAGGTAGGTCAACTGTGCCAGGGATGCCGACAACCTGAAGCTATAGTAAATGTGGATGAATTTTGCCTTGAAGTGTTTGTACTGAGTGGGACACCAGTGAAAAGCTGCTATTGACACATGGCTCTGCTCACTAGCAACACTTGTCTTCTGAGTAAATCTCTGAATGCAGTCATATGAGCCTATTATGTGGCATTAGGCTCTATATTGTGATGCTTTTTAGACCCTCGTGCTAGCCACTGAGTGCTTTCCAGTTTCAGACCCATGCCACAACCTTTAGTGTGACTCACTCTATGTAGGCTCTCTCTGCATGCACTGGACTTTACCTTATGTCACTTTCCAGTAGCCTGTGCACTGTTTTAGTATGTTGTGGAGTAATAGCCAGTTTTAGAGCTGGTAGGAGTGACCCAGTCCCTGTCAATACATTAATAAGACCTGCTATGCTGCAGCAAAGGGAACTACATTACATTTTTAGCTGTTGGGTGCCTTTTATTCTTTTGAAAAATTCATGCCCTTTTTATTGCGGAAACGGTTTAGCCTGAGGGAACATAGTGTTGATGTCATCCAATGGAGACCATGTTGGCACGCACTTCTAGTTCCTTTGCTACCCATCAGCTCAGAAGAAAGCATTTTCCCCCTGCTACTGCTATTTGATGTGCATTGTAGATAATTCGGTCTGTGTCTTCTACTGACCGCCTACAGCGACTTGTTCACTTTCAACTGCCCACGACCCTTCCAGCTCCTATGATCTTAATTTAGAAGTATGCAGGGCTTTGTCTCACCTTGGGTTATTTGCTTACCACTATTCGGGGCAATAAGCCTGTTAAAAAAACATCCTGCCGCAATGGGTGACCTTGTTCCATACTTCCCTTCTGTTTTGGGGAGCAGTTCTCCAGCGTCCTTAGAGGGCGCTGATGCCTGTATATTTTGGTTTCTGTGACTATAACTCCGCTGCCTGAGCCTGATTTTTTTTTTTCTCGATTAATCTTTTTTTCTTGAAGTCTGCTTGTTTACAAAACTGAAGCATGACAGTAGGGGACGGAATTATATGGGAGCTGGCTTTTATAGTTTGTTTGCCAGTGCCCACCTAATGTAGGTAGCTACATATAACTGGTATGTCCAAAAAGTCTACATTCCTGTGTTTTCTCAACGGACAAGATAAAGATTTTATAGGAAGTACAAAAATATTTTTCTTTGTAATGCAGTAGAGTAGGCAGGTTTACTCTGGTGGCTCCTTTGCATTTCTGCAATTCAAGTTTCAAGGGTTGTCTGGCCACACTAGTGAGGAAGAGGAAACTGCTCAATCTGTATGTATAGTTTCACGCAAGGTGCTTTTTGGATGGGTTGCAAGATATCAGTAACAGAAATGAAGCAGCATCTGGTGTATTTGTGATGGATAATTGGTGTGCCACGGATCTGTTTAATTAGCATACAACACTTATTATACTCGAGCTGGCGGGCGCTGCCTGTGGGCACATGGGGCTGCGAGTGTTTATAGGAGGGAACGTTGCAGAGTTCAATCTGGCAGCATGGCAAGATACAGATGAAAAAACGCTGAGCAGTGGGATAGAAAAGAACTTTGGATAATGTGCCCTGAGCCCAGGGTGTACTGATTTGGATGATAAGCTTTCAGCACAGCCTGTGTATATTTTATAGTCTAAATTGACTGTGAGAGCGAGATGATGAATGCGTGTACATTTAACCTTTTACTGCATTCCAATGCCGGAAGGCTGTTGCTGGTGTGTTCTTCATCAGGATAAATGATTTTATGAAGAAGTATTCTTGTCTGATTTCAGATTCTGTTTTTCAGAAGGCTAGTTATTATTCAACATTGTATTGTGTGCTGCTTTTCCAATAGATACACGAGATTCAAACTATGACTTGGTTTTAATCCAATTACTAATTTTTTTCCTGGTGTCTATGCTTCCAGGGAGCGCCAGGGATCAAGTCTGTGAAATGCATACACTGCTAATCTTTGCTGTTTTTTTTTTTTTTCCCAGGGCCCCTGTGCTGGTTGCTCTAGCACTGATTGAATGCGGGATGAAGTACGAGGACGCTGTGCAGTTTATCAGGGAGTAAGTGAGCTAATTAACAGCATCTCTTCTTTCCCCTCCGTGTCTCTTGCGTGCTCTCTCTCTGCCTTTACCTCATGAGACCTCCACTCTGGGTAAACAAGGCTGCGCACAAACTGATTGTTAAACAGTTTTCCTCACACCTTGTTGAAGCAAGAAATAAACGGCTCACAAGAAAAATGTGGACCTGTATCAAATGCAGCTCATCAACATACAGCTAATATATTAAAACCAAACTGAATATAGAAAGTGTAAAGTAACTTTAATTTAGAACTCTGTTCTCCATAATCCAGAATGTACTAGCTTTTACCTGTCACGGCATTTGCATTTCTGTTAATCCAGCTTTGTGATTTCTGTGCCCTTGCCACACGGCATAGCGATGGTGGGAGAAACCCCTATTTGCTTGTTTAGCTTTGCAGCTTTCTGCATCACTCCTTCACCTCCCAGGCTTCTCATTAGACAATCCGTCATAACATTACTGATACATTGGTCATTGAACAGGCAGATCTGTAAACTATAAAGCTATACCTGGAATTAATGGATTAGTATTCCTGGCAATGCAGTGTGCCTGAAATTTTGCTTTAGGTGGAGCATTTTGTTTATACATTAACCAATTTGCGTCTAGAGCAATATGTTAAATGTTACACACGTAATCTGCATTTTTGTCAAAAAAATGTCTTAATAGAATTATATATTTTCTGAAAGCAGAGGCCCTGTAGAATAAATGAAGAAAAAAATGTTATATCGCATGATAGGAAATAATACACTAAAACGAATTCTAGTGTACAACAAAAATATAATCAATTTTTTGGTAAAGTATAAAAGATGGCGCCATGTTGGGTAAATAAAAACCAAACATGTCGAGCATTAAGATTGGACACGTCTTACTAATATCTCCTTTGCACACCGTTCCGATCTACCCCAGAATCCAACGGGTGCTGGACCAACTGGTGGGTGGCGCCACAGTATGCAATCTAGAAGATATGTTGTCCGCACACTATTCTGCTTCGGAATATCTTTATTCATATTCCTTTAGCATGACATATGGCTGCAACATTTTGGAGCCTCACAGAGCCCCTTTGTCAGGCAAAGTGTCATCGAGGACACTTTGCCTGACAAAGGGGACCTGTGAGGCTTCGAAACGTTGCATCCATAAATCGCGCTAAAGGAATACGAATAAAGATTATATTCCAAAGCGGAATGTTGTGTGGACAACATTTTCTAGATTAAAATTGCACATGACTGTGCAATGGCAAAAAAATTACAGTACAAAAATTGCCTTAGGTGACAGCTTTAAAGCCTTTACCGCTCTTCAATTTAGAGTTAACAGTGAGTTACAGTGCTACAATTACTGCTCTCACTCTGATGTTTGCAGCGATATGTAACCTGTGTTGCAATTGCCGTTTTTGCATATAGGTGCACTTGATGTGTGTTTGTATGGAGGGGCACACTTTTCTTATTTTCTTAATGTGTCACTTTCATTTTTAACTTGTTGTTTTTGTTTTTTTTGTCACTTAACATAATCACATAGGGGACTAACAAACCCCTATGTGATAGCACAGTGGAAGTGGTGGGTACTCTTTCTGGAGACATCAGGGGTCTATCAGACTCCTTATGTCTCCTATAGACCTCACAGAAGCTGATGACGCACAATTTGTGCTTCATTAGCTTCTTCTCCAGCTGACGACATTAGCTTCTTCTCCAGCTGACGAAAGAACAGCCTAAAACCAGAAGTGACGAAATCATCTTCACTTCCAGGTTCAGCAGGCGGAGGGGAGATCAGCCACTGGAAGTAGCACACTTTCTAGCATCATACAGGTGATCTCTACAGCCACCTGATCACTTGTGTATGAAAGTCGACCGTCTGCTAAAAAGAACAGTACCGAAGCAACGGTCTTGGTTTAACCACTTCAGGATTTTTCCGTCCAGATACATATTGCGGTCCTGAAGTGGTTAACCACTAATTTTAATAGGCAAGCAAAGCTAGTGATAACCTTCCTGAATGTTTGCAGAGTTTTACTTATTTATTATTGGTATTTATATAGCTCTGACAATTTACGCAGCTCTTTACATCGTGCGCATTCGCATCAGTCCCTGTCCCCAAGGAGCTTACAATCTAGGGTCCCTATCTCGCATGCATACATACAGGGCTGATTTAGACACGACCCATCAACTTACCAACATGTCTTTGGAATGTGGGAGGAAGCCGGAGTACACGGAGGAAACCCACGCAAGCACAGGAAGAACATGCAAACTCCTTGCAGATAGTGTCCTGACTGGGTTTTGAACCAGGGTTCCCCAGTGCTGCTAGGCAGAAGTGCTAATCACTACCGCATTGCTTTCAATATTTATTAAAACTGCATCACAGATCAGACCAATGAATGCTGTCATGTTAACACGCATCACATTTATGTGGGTAAAGATGCTTAAGAGTAGCCCATAAGTGATCACATAGTGCTGGTCTTAGAAAGCTCACCCTGTTCTACAAACTGTCACTGAATCATCATGTATTAAATGTGTACTTAAAGGAGAACTATGGGGGTCAGTGTTTTTCCCCATAGTTCTCCTTAGGGTAACGGGAGGACACAAACTAGCGTCCTCCCGTCACCCTAAGCTCAGTATACCGCGAGCTACAGCTCATCGGTATTCTGAGACGCCGGAGCGGATCCCGACTTAGATGACAGGATCCGCCCAGCTGCGTGAGTGACAGCTGGCTCTGCCTATCTAGAGGCAGAGCCAGCTGTACCCGCCCCCTCCCCCGTCCGTTCCGCCAGTCAGCGCTGGCAGATCGGAGCGGGGAGAGGGGAATCCAGCCCCTCCCCCTGTCTATCTAGAGGCAGAGCCAGCTGTACCCGCCCCCCCCCCCGTCCGTTCCGCCAGTCAGCGCTGGCAGATCGGAGAGGGGAATCCAGCCCCTCCCCCTGTCACGGCAGAGAACCGTGACAGGATCGAGAGGGGAGCGAACGCTAGTATGTGTTTGCTCACCTCACGATCTACTGAGCCGACCTGTGACAGTCTCATTGTCACAGGTCGGCTAGAACTATGAGGTGAGTGAAAAGCACTCACCTCATAGTTCTCCTTTTAACGATGAAAAAATATATATTCGATTACTTCATTTAAAATAAACCTTAAAAATCATTGTTTTTTTATATATTATGGTTGCTATAAGTAAACATTTTTTATTTCTTCTTTTAGAAAGCGGAGAGGTGCATTTAATGCCAAACAGCTGCTGTACCTGGAGAAGTACAAGCCCAAGATGCGCCTGCGATTCAAGGATAACAACGGACACTGCTGTATGCAATAATGTGGAATTGAACACAGCGGTTTGAACCAGGCCTTTGTGACCGTGGGCAATGGGTCAAGATGAGATGTATGATCCTACAACAGAAGACTGGTCTCTCACCTCCGTCCTTTCAAAAGCAACTGTAATAGGTGCCACGATCACCAAATAAAATGCAACTCTAGTTTGTTTTCCTCCTACTTCATTTGGTAAATAGACAGATTAAAGAATTGCTACATCCATATGTAACTTACCTTTTGACATCAGCTTCCAGGAGAGAATTAACGAGCTTAGGTTTATCAAATGTATCTCTGCTCAAGTATTGAATATTACATTGGACTGCAGAGAGCATCTATGAAGAGTTGGAGTGGAGAGCACGTACACAAATCCCTATATTAAAGTGCAGTAAGATACTGGGGCAGTTGTTTGGACCAAATGAATGTGAAGTTGACAATATTTGTGTTTTTTAAATCCCTTCAGCTCAGGGGTAGGAGGATGAGCAGTATATGTAGGTGACCTTTATTTTTCCTAATTTCATGCAGACTCCAAAGTATCTACTCTTTCTCTCTAGCAAATGATCCAAAGTGAGGTCTGCAGGACATGTTGTGTGACTGAACATCTGTACTGCTCAGGGCCCATCACATCTCTTTGCTGCCATAGCCAGTTGTAACGACGCTTTGTTTGAACACTGCCTTTTAGCCTTAAGCCAAAATCCCTCTTTGTGTTTTCGGTGGCAGCTAACAATCCAAAAAAAACACTTTAAAACAAAATGAAATCTTCTAATCTCCCCTCATTCTGTCCAAAACAAGACTCTTTCTGGTATAACTGCCATAGAATACAAGGCTGATGCCAAAACATAGATATGTATGCGATTTAAAACCCGCAGCCGTATTTTGCACTGCATCTGTTAAACTGCTGCTTTATTCCAGCAGCATTAGGTGCTGCTTTCATTAGGCTTTTCTATTACGTGCAGTTTTGTTTTCCTTTCCCCCTCCTCCATCTCTTATGAATTTCTAGCTGCAGTATCACAGAAAGTGTACTCTGTAACCTGCCTTGCAAGGTGTATTGCTTGCTGTTGGGCAACAGAGGTTACCAATTTTAAATCCTAGGTAATATTTAAGGTAATATGTGAACGAGTTAATTTGCTTTATTGAAACTCTATTATGCATTGTTAGGGCAAGCTGCTGTGAAGAGATGTATTGTATTTCAAGGCAATCCTCTTACACAATCCAAACCTGCGTTAATCAGGGCAGTTTCACATACACTCAACAATGCGTGATTCAAGTGCGCTTCAACCACCCAACCCTAGTTCATCCAATCAATGACACAGTCCTGATTTTTAGGACTGCATGGCGTGTGCAAGCAAGAGTTGCAATATATACTATCACTGTTTTAAGAACCTCATGAACTTGAAAACATTGTGTTGCTGCTTAAAAAAAAGATCAAGGGAGTGATGCATACTTCTATGTAAACATCACCAAATTTCATGTCGTCTAGTCCTGTCTGGCTGCATTTTTTACAGAGACTTTGCCCGGTGAGTTCTAAAATACTTTTCTCCCTTGTACGTTCGATAGTGGGAATGTTGTGCCTAAATCCCCTTTTCTTCCCACTTATGATAGAATATTACTTACAAGGGTCAAACAGCAAGTGCTTGTCAATTGTAACTTATTTTTAACTCAATTTGTTTACTGCTTTTGTGAGACACAGTGACTAAAGGAGGTGTCGAGACAGAGGTGATCTAAGTGTAAATCAATAAGTGCTAGAAAATTCCTTGATCTCATGAAACGTGTTCAATAAATATTTTACACATTCTACAAGTTGGTGTCTGTGTTTTTCATTGATTTTTTTTTTTTCTTCGTTACAGTGCATTAATTGGGTTTCTGCGGAGAAGATGAAAACAAAATATGGTGCAATTTATCCTTTAAAATTAGACCCACTTTTATATTCACTAAGAGCAGAGCATAGGGAAAACTTACAAAATGTTGTTAAACTTTCGGCGAGCCTAAGGCAGCTTTGTTGAATCTTTTTAAAGCAACTTTTAACTTCAGTTTGGGAATAATAAACTTTAATATGGGATAATGGGAGTTCAGGCTGTCACTTTAAGGGCTAATGTACACAGGCCCATGTAGGGGCGTACAACGTAACTTTTTTCCATGCGCGGTGTGTACAGCCACCATGGACAAGAAGTGGCTTTACATAGGTGTAAACCTGCATATAGTGTAAAGACTAATGCGTTCAGGGATTACATATACACTTTATTGCCAAAATTATTGGGACGCCAGCCTTAACACGCACATGAACTTTAATGGCATCCCTGTATTGGTCTGTAGGGTTCAATATTGACTTGGCCCACCCTTTGCAGCCATAAAAGCTTCAACTCTCCTGGGAAGGCGCCACAAAGTTTAGGGAGTGTGTCTATGGGAATGTTTGACCATTCTTCCAGAAGCACATTTGTGAGGTCAGGTACTGATGTTGGACGAGAAGGCCTGGCTCGCAGTCTCCGCTCTAATTCATCCCAGAGGTGTTCCATCGGATTGAGGTCAGGACTCTGTGCAGGCCAGTCAAGTTCCTCCACCTCAAACTCGCTCATCCATGTCTTTTATGGACCTTGCTTTGTGCACTGGTGTGCAGTCATGTTGGAACAGGAAGGGGCCATCCCCAAACTGTTCCCACAAAGTTGGGAGCTTGAAATTGTCCAAAATGTCTTGGTATGCTGATGCCTTAAAAGTTCCCTTCACTGGAACTAAGGGGCCAAGCCCAACCCCTGAAAAACAACCCCACACCATAATCCCTCCTCCACCAAACTTTACACTTGGCACAATGCAGTCAGGCAAGTACTGTTCTCCTGGCAACCGCGGAACCCAGACACGTCCATCGGATTGCCAGACAGATGCGTGGTTTGTCACTCCAGAGAACACGTTTCCACTTCTCTAGAGTCCAGTGACGGCATGCTTTACACCACTGCATCTGACGCTTTGCATTGCACTTGGTGATGTAAGGGTTGGATGCAGCTGCTCGGCCATGGAAACCCATTCCATTAAGCTCTCTACGCACTGTTGTGCCAATCTGAAGGCCACACCAAGTTTGGAGGTCTGTAGCTATTGCCTCTGCAGACAGTTGGCAACTTCTGTGCACTTTGCGCTTCAGCATACACTGATCCCACTGTCATTTTACGTGGCCTACCACTTTGTGGCTGAGTTGCTGTTGTTCCCAGTTGCTTCCACTTTGTTATAATACCACTAATAGGTGACTGTGGAATATCTAGTAGCAATGAAATTTCATGGATGGACTTATTGCACAGTACCACGCTTGTAGTCACTGAGCTCCTGAGAGCAACCCATTCTTTCACAAATGTTTGTAGAAGCAGTCTGCATGCTGAGGTGTTTGATTTTATACACCTGTGGCCATGGAGGTGATTGGAACACCTGAATCCAATGATTTGGAGGGGTGTCTCAGTAAAAAAAATACTTGCCGGATCCTTGTTTCCAGGAGGCACTGGTGATGTGATTTGGGATAGCTGGGCACTTTTGAAATACAGACCCTCAAGAATGCATTCCAGCCCATTGCAGAGGTATTAGTTCCACAGCAGCTACAGTGCCATGGTTCCCTTTTTCTGCTGTAAAGGCCATTCTGGCCCCTGGGGTCTCTATACACGTGTGTGTGTGTGTGTGTGTGTGTGTGTGTGTGTGTGTGTGTGTTCTCAGGGGAAGGATATGCACTTGGCTGAGAAGGAAACCGATTTACTTGTATGCCCACCACCTCCATTACTATGACACCATTCCAATGCAGCAGCCATTTTCTGGAAGTACAATATGCGGATTTATTCTTTTAGAAATAGTAGGAGAAGGTAAGCGTTTTATAGGAAATAAAACACCACTACTTATCACTCCTCCCTCCTAAACTATTAAACCGTCTATTATTATTTTGAACAGGCAATCTCTATATCAAGCTGAGACTGTGGGGGAAACTAAAACTCAGTTTACTTCCCAAATCATTTTTTTGGTTTCAATAAGCAGAAGAGGTAATATTCTTCCAGGGCCAACCCTGGAAAAGCACCCTCCCAGTGCTGAGGGCATATGGCTTGGTATTGGGGAGGGGGGGGCGCTTGTTGACATGTTTAAAAAAAAAAATTGATTCCTGTCCCCCAGGGCAGTACCTGGATCCCCATACACCTTTTATGGCCAATAACTTGCATATAAGCCCTCTTAAAGGGGACAATTGTTTTTGAAAGTTCTACCCCTATTGAATTGTATTAAGTTCAAATTCAAACTTTTTGGATGTTTGAATTCGAACCGAACTCGGGCCTGTTCGGCCCATCACTACTCTATAGTCCTAGTGATCTTTCCTAAAAGGAAACCATGTTTATCTTTCTATTGAATATTCATTGGGTTTTTTTATACGCGCATCCTTATGTGGTTTCTAAATGCTCCAGCTAGTGTTCATGTGTACATCAGCCATTGTTATTTGCTTTGCTGTGTAAAAGTTAAACTTTCCATCTGGAATACAAACAGAGCCAATATTTCATTAATATAGAGCTGTGCTTGTAGCTTTCATTCTTTTGCCTACATAATTTAAGACCGAGTATCTGAGGCTTAGTATGTATACTGTTTTAATTATATTATTGTTTACTTTTGCTGTAAAGTTGATACTGTAATCTACACCGCTCCCCTGACTGATGCATACAGTATAATGGGTTAGAATTAGGGATATACCGATACCGTAGCATCGGAATCGGGCCCGATATTGGGCATTTTGACAAGTACCTGTACTTGTCAAAATGCCCCGATGCATAGCGCCGATGCTTGCGCTGTTTTTATTCTTTTTTTCTTTACCTTCCGTGGTGGGGTCCTCTGGTCATTCGCCGGCCACCTACATTAGGACCCCACCTGGAGCGCCGCCCACAGCAGTAACGCGCTCCCGTCTCCAGCTGTGCGCAGGCACGTCTGGGCCCTCACTGCCAGCTGAGCCCACCCACCAGCAAGCCCAAGCCTAGGAGCCCGTGCATCTGTCTCTCGGACCACCGGTCCTGCTCAGCGCCGATGTCGTCCTCGTGTGAGGAAAAGCATTTGGCACCTCATGAGGCACCTCCATTGAACAGGCACCAGTAAGTGAGGTGCCTTCATATAGAGTAATAGGTGAAATCATGATCCATAGTACATAACATGTAGTAGTACTATAGATCATGATTTAACCTATTCATGTTAGCAGGGGATAATTGAAAAACTCTATTGCTGCAGGTTATTGGGAATATGTACTGTATATACATATACAATACATATTCCCAATACGCTGCAGCAGTAGTTTTTCAATTATCCCCTGCTAACATGAATAGGTTAAATGATCCATAGTACATAATATGTAGTTGTACTATGGATCATTTAACCCATTCATGTTAGCAGGGGAGAATTGTAAATCTATTGTTGCAGTGTATTCTATATGTACTGTACATGTGCAGTACACATTCCCACTACACTGCAGCAATAGATTTACAATTCTGCACCGCTAATATGAATGGGATAAATGATCCATAGTACATAACATGTAGTTGTACTAGGTTTCATTTAACCTATTCATGTTAGCAGGTCATAATTGTAAATCTATTGCTGCAGTGAATTGGGAATGTGTACTACATATTGAATACACTGCAGCAATAGATTTACAATTCTCCCCTGCTAACATGAATGGGTTAAATGATCCATAGTACAACTACATGTTATGTACATATTATGTACTATGGATCTTGATTTAACCTATTCATGTTAGCAGGGGATCATTGTAACTCTAATACTGCAGTGTAAGGGACGTGTGCTCTATATCTACTATGGATCATGAATTAACCTATCCATGTTAGCAGGGGAGAATTGTGAGCGCCTCCCACAAGCTGAGCACCGAGACGCGATCCTGCCCAGCGCCGACTAAGAGAGGCACCGCGTGAGGCAACAGGGATTTGAGTGAAACTGAGTGAGGGAAGCTGGGACAGGGCTGGCTGTAAATCTATTGCTATAGTGTACTGGACGTGTTTAATGTATATGTAGTACATATATACAGCACACACCTCCACTACACTCCAGCAATAGATTTACAATTCTCCCCTGCTAACATGAATAGGTTAAATCATGATCCATAGTACAGAACATGTAGTTGTACTATGGATCATTTAAAGTCACCTGTCCCTTTAAGAAAAAGTATTGGTAATTGGTATCGGCAAGTACATGAGGGGAAGTACTTGGTCTTGAATAAGTGGTATCGGGACATCCCTAGTTACAATCATTCTTGTGACTGCCAATGCGTACTCATGACCTTGCCTGTCACAGCTTGAGAGTGTACAGCTAGTGATGGCGCTCCTTCAGTTAGGCCTTGTGTAGATGAGCAAATGCTGCATGTTTTCAAGTAGTTTTCCGATTCCGTTTGAGATCAAGTTGGAATGCTTCTGTCAGCCTAAAGCTGGCCATACACCTATAGATTTTCTATTGTCAGATGGAAAAAGTGCAATATATTTCTCCCTCTACGCTAAACTGTGTGGATGGAGGAATCTCCCACTGGGCCAAGCTTCAGTATCTTGCTAGTCGGCCCAGCAAAGGAGGGGTTCCAACTTTTTCCACTCCAAGACAATTTGGGTTTACAAATACTGTATATATTGTATAGATTAAAGGGGGAATTCACAAAATTGGAGCCAGAATCTGGAGTAGCTGTGCATAGTAACCAATCAGCTTTTATCTTCAACTTTTTCAGTAAAGCTGGCCACACCTATAGATTATCTGCAGAGTTTCTGTGGTCAGATGGAAAAAGTGCAACTGATTCCTCCATCTACGCT